GGTGTTTGCTCTGAACACCTACCTTTCAGGTACTTACAGCCTCTGGAACTGGTGGATTCATCTTTGATGTCTACTTAGATTCTGATTCAGCTAACATTTATTGAGCATTGCTATGAACAAGAAACTTTAATGTATTACTAATTTAATTTTCACAAAAATATCTGGGAGGTGGGAGTTCTAATTTAGGTTAAGAGAAGCAAAGTGCTTTGCCCAAGGTCACATAGCCACTTTCTCATGGCAGTGCAGGGGTATCTTCTAGAGGTATATATATTTCCTCACTGTGATGATGCTAAATACATCATATGTTATTGTGATAGCTGGTCTTTTGATTGAATCCAGAGCAATGCAAAGGAGAAAAAAATGCCTGTTTGACCCAGGCACACTTCAAGGTCATGTTCCCTGGTGCCACTTTTATTGTGGATGATGCTCTTTAGTCTCCTGGGGAACTGAAAGTAGTTAATTAACCAAAGGTAAGTATGTGCTCACCAACAGTGAGTGGCCTCCTGAGCAGTGAAGTTAGGTGTAGGCCATTGTCATCTCCAATTAGCCAGGGTCACTGGAAACATAGCCCCAGTTTCCATAACACTCTTTGTGACTCATAGCAACCCCAGGCAGTTGTCAAGATGGAACTTTGGATAGGGCCTGAAGTGCTTTATAAGGATTCAATTTACTATGTTAAAGTGCATGTTTGTTCCTCTTTCTGTGAGTGACCAGTGGAAACGTCCTTCCCTCTTTTGTACAGAGGGGAGTCATTTCAAGGGAGCTTGTCTCCTGGGGGCATTACTTGGCTACGAAGCTCCACTCTTCCCTGGCCTCTTCCTGAGTGAGCCTGCTCTCTAGCAACATGGCTTTCTCCATATCTCAGTTTCCTGGCCTGTAAATTCCAAAACTCTGTGTCCATGGAAGGGATCAGCTGCCGGCAGGAAATCTGCCCAAAGCTAACCCACAGTGTAATATAGAAACAATTACTGATAAGCTGAGGGTGACTCAGTCTACAGCATCAGGAAAAAACCCACTTCAAATAAAACAAATGTAAAATGACCTGTAACCTGGTAGATTTAACTTCAGAGAGCCGGCAAACTGAGAGGAGATCATATACTGATAAGAGTCTAACAAGTAAAAACAGATCTAATCTACAAGAAACACGAACAGAATTTCCCTGGCCCAGCTTGGTTTTCCTCCTTAGCCAACAGCTCCCAGTTTATTAACTTTGCTGTCCACGCAATTTCAAGGGCCGCCATGGTATAGTGCTTACTGGAATGTGTTCTAGACCCAAAGAACCTGGGTTCAGATCCTGACTCCTCCACTTATTAGTCCTATGATCTTGGGCAGCTCATTTAACTTTTTGTTGTCTTGGCTTTCTTATCTGTAAAATGGGTATAATAGTTATTCTAAGGGTTAAACGAGCTAATATACATAAAATCACATGGTAGAGTGTCTGGCATTTACAAGGGGGGACCCCCCCAAAAACAGAGTTTATTTATTAAAAATCGTGGGTTTATTCGTACATGTTTATACTTCAGTCACCTCCAAAGGACTCTCCATGTGATGCAATACACCTATCGAGATGTTTTCCCTTTGCTCCAGTTTTTGAACTTGTCAATTTTAATGCCTTTTAGTGCTTCTGCCATTTTTTGTTTCACCTCTTTCACATCAGCAAAACGCTTACCTTTGAGGACTTTTTTCATCTGGGGAAACAAATAGTCACTTGGGACCAGATCAGATGAATAGGGAGGGTGGCGTACAAGGGTCATGCCATTTTTAGCCAAAAACTGTTGAACACTCAGCACAATGTGGGCAGGTGCATTTGAAAATCGCCCATCATGAAATGGGCAAATGTGTTCAAAGAGCCTTAAGACAAAATCACTGAAGCTGAACACAGCCTCTCACAACATTATTGCCGGCTGGTGCACTGACACAGCTGGGCCCCCAGAGCGCTCACCTAGCAGGGGAAGCCTGTACTACAAGGAGCCCCCCCTCCAGAAGACATCCTAGGTTTATTTATTATGACGTCCCCTCTCATAGTAAGTGCTCAGTAAAAGTTATCTGTTCTTAGTATCATCTTCACCATCACCCCCGCTGCTTGCTCACCGGTACCATAATTCTGGCTCAGTAACTCACTTCCACATTTGGACCCTGTGAGCCTTATATTTCTCTGACCAGATCCCTCTCCTTCCCAGGAAGTAGTGCCCTGCTTCTAACTGGCAGCTTGCCTGGCATCATAAGGGTCCCTGCTCAGGGTCACACACAGGGGCCATGCCCATGTGCCAGGGCACCTTGTCCTGCCTGCTGTGCCTTCCCATGCTAACTGCTAGTAGGATAGCCGACCTCTGGGCCACACTGCCTCCTGGCAACGGTAGGTGACTCCCTACTGTAGATCTGATGCCACCTAAGTTCCCCTGCCTCAGGAAGTACCTGGACCATGCTTAGATAGAAAGAACTTGCCGATGACTAGGGACAGGCTATCCTGAATGACCCATCTATCACAAGTGACTGGTTGGCTTCGCAGATGCGTATGGATGTAATAAGTACACCAGGTATTTGTGGTCATTAGAGCAACCAGGAGATTATAAACTAGAAGCACATGCAAAGTGGCTAAGAGCCAAATATGTTTGGAAGAGCTCAACTCTGATAAGTTTTTATTACGTAACTATTGCATATTTCTTGTGGAAAAAGTAGGCAATACAAATAAACCAAAAGTTAATTGTGAAGAGAAAACGTCTATGACCCGCCTTCCAGAGATAACACTTTTAACTTCTCTTTTTCTCTGTACACACACACACACACACACACACACCCGTAATCATTTTAACACTTTTCACTTAATGGATTGTGGATAAATAAACATTTATAACATCAAATACTGAGCACTTCCCAATGACTCTGAAGGTGCGTGGGCTCATTGTTTGGCCTGTTGGCACCATTTTGCTAATGGAAAGAAGGGCGGTAAGCAGACAGGCTGAGTTTTTTTGGTCTGCAGCTTCCAATTCTGGTAACTGCGACCAGGTTAATTAAGGGTGGCTTCTGGCTGGAGCCCGGTGGCAGAGCAGCATGGCTTTATGTGGGCGTGGTTATTTGAGGCATGAGACAGTCAGCTGACTTGTTCTGCTCTAATCTCTAGTCTTTGATTATAGCCAGGGTCAGTGACAGGTCTCTGGACTCTGTCTTTATGTCACTGTGGGACCTTTGGCAAAATATGCCACTTCTCCATGCCTTGGTTTCCTCACCAGTATATCCAAGGGGTTGGATCACTCTGTGATTGTGTGTTTAGGAATCTAGAGTGAGACTGAGCTTTGGGTGTGGCTGTGCAGTCTGGTGCCAGGCTGGCTGCACCAGAATCACCTGAAGGAGCAATTCCAGCAGCTATTCCTGGGCCTCTTCCCCACCCTCCCATGGGTGAGGCCCCAGAATCTGTAATTTTAACAAATGTCTTAGCAATTGTTTCTGGTTGCAAGGATGGTGACTTCCCCCAAGTTGCTCAGCCGGTGCCATCCTAGTTGAATTCTGGTTCTAGCCAAAGGGTTGTAAAAAGCATCTCAATCCCAGATCCCTCATGGAGACAGCTGCTGTTGGCTGGAAGTGCCGCAGTTCAGCTTTTTAGGGCTTCCTAGAGCTCTTCCGTGGCTTGTCAGCTTCTCACTGACGTCAGCGCACAGTCCGCCCAGCCCTTTTCCCAACCAGTGTCCATCACGTTCTGCTTCGCACGGCTTCTTGGCTCCCTGTGTTGGGCTTCGGCTGCAGCGGGGTTCCGTGCACTCTGTGAGTTGTACTAGCCGCCTCCCTGACTGTCCTTCATTGAGCAGGAGGGGCTCTCCTACCACCTGGTTTCATCCCCCTGCCATTTTTTTTGTCTTCCAGGAAACCTGGTGTTTCTGAGACATACCGGAGATTTCTTTGTAAATCCTTCAGGACTTTGAGCTCTCTTAATAGTGGTTTATTCCAAAGAATTCTTACATACAGGGTTTTTAATATTTAAGGGTTCAGATTCCTTTCCTCGCTGATTATTAAAACACACACTCATAAACACACTCCACACCTAAACAGAGTGTAGTTAGGTTTAAAAATGCTCGATTATATTTTATCCATGATTTGAATGAGAGATTCTAATCTTATCTAATTTCACATTTATTTTATGTCACTCTTTGATCTTTTGTAGCATTTACAAATAAGAAAGAAATAAGGCATAGGGAGCTGGATATTTTCTTTGACTAGTCTAGGGTATCAGAATCACCTGGATAATTTGATAAAATACACGTTTCTGGACCTCATCCCAGACTTACTGAAAAATAATCCGTGGGGGAAGGATGCCAGAATTTGCATTTCCCAGGCGATCTCTGGGTGATTCTTTTGCATGATGAAGGCTGGGAGGTCCTGCCTTAGGTGGTGGAGCGAATTTAGACAAGATGGAGAGGACCCTGAAACACGGACTGGAGGGACCCCGGCTTCTTGGAGTTCAATCCTGCCTCTGTCCTCACAGGCTGTGTGGCTCTTCCGTGCTTCAGTTTGCTCACCTGTGGAAAGTCTGCAAACTCTCATATCTACCTCATTGGTGGTTGTGAGGTTTAGATGAGTTAACATGTGTAACGTGTTTAAAGAAGTGTCTGCACGTAGTAAGGGCTCTGTACACGTTTCCTGGGAATATTATCCTGTGCGCATGAAGGGCATGAACAAAATCAAAGACCGAAATGGATGACCTCTTTGAGGGGAGCAGAAGGTTCAGGTTAGTGGTTTTCAGATTATGGTGTGCAAAAACTTAACCTGGGAAGCTTGTTAAAAATTTAGTGTCTATACAAAAATTCTGATTTAGTGAACTTGGAGTGAAGTTTTGGGATCTGTATTTTAAATTGTTTTATGTAGGTAATCAGCAAATTTTCAGAAATCCTGGTTTCAGTAGAGGGGGATTGGTATTTAAAGTTGGAGTGGTCTCCTGGGATTTAACTGGGGCTATCAAAAGATATATATATAGAAGCTAATTGCATATTCACTATTTGCTTTATTAGGTGTGTCCAGAAAGCAGTAGAAGTATTCGGGAGGTACAGTGTGCATCCTACAACAACAAGCCGTTCATGGGTCGCTTTTATGAATGGGAACCATTTGCCGAAGGTAAGAATAGACCCAGCCCTGCCTGCAGGAATTATTTTTGTTTGGCTTTAACCCTATTGCCTTCTGGTTGATGCTGGAGGAATCAGAGATCCTGACCAGAGTGGCGGTGGAGGAGGGAGTACGACCCCAGGGCAGAGGAGAGCCTGCAGGGGTCCTTACCAAAGGTGGTCTAGCTCAGGTGACACCTGGACCATCAGTCTACTGCATGAGGCATTGATAGAACAAGCAGAGTCTGAGGATGGCAGGGTGAGTGGGACAGTACAAGGCTGGGGGGTGGGGAGAGTGGGTTGGAGTAAGAGATTCAAACTAGGTTGTGAGGAGTGAGCAGGATGGAGTTCTACTTTCCCTTGGAGTTTGCTACAGGGGTTGGTGTGGCCTAAGAAAACATGCAGGATTGTAGGGTTCACAGCTGTTCGGCTGTCATGGGTTGGGGCAGGGGGAGGAGCAGCGTCTCATGCTGCTCCCAAAGATGAAATGTGGTGGGCCAGCACGGTCTGAAAGACTAAGGTTCCTGCTCTTCCAAAACGACAGAAGATTCGGTTTTGGTAGGCTTGTCAGTACTGCTCTGGACCCCAGAGCCACTTTTCTGTGTTGAAACCCAGATGATAACATGGCTTTTGGACTGCCAGGTGTTAAATTCGGAGCTGTTTCTTCCGATCACAGAGAAGCAGACTCTAAGGTTGTGCTGGACTTTAAGCGTGAGTCCTGGAGAAATTTGTTTTTTAGCACTTAATTTAACTTTTAATTTTGGAAAATTTCACACATATGTAAAGGCACAAAGAATGATATAACAGGATAATAATAAGCTCTTATATACCCATCACTTAATTACAACAGTTATCATCTCATGGCCAATCTTTTTCACCACGCAGATTATGGGCAACTATTTGACATCACCTTATATATCATTATTCATTGGTAGCTATGTTAATTAGGACTTTTTATTGTGTCAGAAACTCAACCTAGATACATTTAAATAGGAACGGTATTTTGTTGGTCATGCTACTGGGAAATCCAAGAGGTGGACTGGGCTTCAGATATAGACACATTCCAGGAACTGAATCACATAAGGACCCTGCCTTTCGCATCTTTGTCCATCTCTTGGTTCTGTTTACCGACTTCTCAGGTGGGTGGGCGGGCTTCCATGGCATTCAGTGGGAGACGCTCTCCCTCATCTAGTGTCCCTGCTAAAGATATGTTGAAGTCCTGTCCCTGGTACCTTTGACTGTCATCTTATTTGGAAACAGGGTCATTGTAGATGTTACTCAGATGTAAGATAAGAAGAGGTCATGCTGGAGTACGGTGGGCCCTTAATTCAATATTACAGGCATCATTACAAAAAAAGAGAAGAAGAGAACAGAGACACACACAGAAAGAGAAACACCTGTGAAGATACCAGCACAGAGACTGAGGGAAGATGTGGCCATGTGACAACTGAAGCAGAGATGAGAGTGATGTGGCCACAAGCCAAAGAACACCAAGGAGTGCTGGGACCCATCAGAAACCAGGAGTCATGGAGAGATTCTTTCCCAGAGGCTTCAAAGGCAACATGGCTCTGCGAACACCTTGATTTAGGATTTCTAACTTCCAGAACTAAGAAAGAATAAATTCCTGTTGTTTTAAACCACCCAGTTTGTGGTAATATGTTATGGCAGCTTAGAAATCTAACATGCCCAGTGATGGCTGCAATCCCAGAAAAACTGTACTGTGATCTTGTTTGGGTCATATTCCCATCCCTGGACCTGAGCGTGGACATGGGGGTACTTGGACTAGCTCAGGTCATGTGACAGCCCTATGGTGGGGGATTCATGTCACCTGAAGCTGTGGAGGAGTGGAGATTGGGACAGGCAGAAAAACAGAATCTTCTCAAAAAATTGTTATACACTTCTTGACCACTGAAATTTTGAATGAGCCAATTAGAAGCCTGGCATTTCACAAAGTAAAGAAAAATGCAGAATGGCAGCAGATTAGAGAAATCAGCTATCTTCTACCATGTGTTACTTTACCTAGAGAATTCACATTCTTTAAAAATATTTACTGACATTTAATATGTTTCACATGCCTGGGAGAGGAGGAGCCCTGGTTGCTGAAGTTGCATTGGCTGTGGCTTTGTTTAAATAATTCTTTTTGCTGCTACGATTGTTTTCTTGATTTTGTCCTTCTTCCTCTGAAATGACTCCCAGGCTGACCCGTGGGAGGAAGATGCTGCTAATGTTTCTGCAGGGTGTTCATACTTTATGGCTGGATTTTGCATTGGGCTCTTGGCCTTGTTTAGATGTCTGCTGCTATTCACATGTGCCTACTTAGGGAAGCAGCTGTGCTCATTCGGTCCAAGGCCACATGGATTAGTAAATGCAGAATCCACTCTCTGATAAACATTAATATCACCACACGCTTTTTGTTACGCTCAATCACATTTCCTAGGTATGGTGATCTGTGCTCAGGTAAGATGTCTAGGATTTTTTTCTCCTAGCCCTAGACCTCTCTTATAAAGATGACAGAAGTAGAATTTGGGTGTCCAAGCTTCCCTGTTTACCCAGAACAGTGATGACTTAACGCCCGTCACCCCCGCGGTCCCCATTCACTCTCAAGACCGTTTTGGACAATAAATTATCACCTCTGCTAGAATGGGATACTTTAATAGGAAGACCTTTTTTTTTAGATGCTGACATTGGGGAAAATTGTGTCTGTTTTCATGCCTAGGATATTGGGGTTGGGCATCACTAGAGTCCTGAGTTTTGCTGGGTTGCTGTGGGCTATACAGCAGTAGGTCTTAACCCATAAAGCAGGGGAGAGCTTTGTGTTTGGGTAGCCTAAGTTCATCATGTAACTGTAAGGCTGAACTGAACTGAATGGATATCTAAAAGTCAGAGGTGAGGTTGTGAGTTGGTTGCATGAACAGGGCCATTAATCTGTCAGAAGTGACAAGCTTATGCTGCAGTTACAAGCCCCCCTTCCACCCTAAATCCTACTGATTTCACAAGCAAATTTTGTCTTTTGTCCTGCCCCATATGTAATGTAGTATGTAGGACCCAAGCTGGTAGAAGGTGTATCTCCATTTACCCTTCCACTGAAGCAGAGAAAGGGCAAGTGCATCGGGTCTCATTGACCAAAGCACTTGCATGTTGCATGTTGTACTTAACGTCAAGGGCAGCAGGGAGGTACCATCCCACACATTCTCAAAGGAGAAGAAGTGGAGTATCTGTGAGCAGCCCTAAGGACCAGCAAGGTAGGATGCTCCGACAGAACTTCCTGAATGCCTTTCTTTTAAGTCCAGACGACTTTCATTAGGTTGCTTGCAAGAATAGGAGATTTTGCTGCAGGGGATACCGAAGGTGCCACAAGACCTCGAGCCACTTAGATCAAGTTTCTTCCTTGATTAAAGCTCTGAGGTGTAGAGATGGAATATAGCACCCATGTGCCTAGATAAGCTGCTGATTCCTCCAATAGTCCAGCAGTCTGCCCTGGCACAACACCATGCTGGGGCACAGGGCAAGGGCTGTCTGATAAAAACAGGGGCAGTATCACCAAAAATATGGGGCATGAGGAAGAAAGGCTTAGGTTCAAGTGCTGGTGGATCTGGGATGAGGATGTTACTGTTTTAATGAAGCAGCTCCATTTCTAGGTACCTGGAACTCTCCTCCAGCCCACTCCTGCTCTACAGTGTGTAGTTACTGTGAACCTTCCAGAGTGGACAGGGCAGACCTTAGGGAAGCAAGAGGAGTATTTCAGTAATTCCCTCACAAGATCCATCCTCAAGTTATCTTATACATGCTTAGAATTAACTGACAAGGCTAGACCATTTTTACTTAGCATATGAGTATATTGTTGAGGACCAAGTGAAATCCTGAGGGCAACCTCTTTGTGAAAACAAAACGGTGATTTTTGGTGTCATGCATGTTGAATTCAAATGAATGGTAACAAGATGCCCAGCAGGAAGTTGGGGATGAAAACTGAAGCTTAAGGAATATACCATAGACTTGTAGACTTATACTTGAAGTTATTGGCCTTGGTGTCATAAGATAAGCCACCAAGAAGGATAAGTCCTTAAAAATCATGAGGACAGAGGATCAAGAAAGGAGCTTTGGAGTACGTCCACATTAAAGAAGTAGAGGAAAGAAGCTCAACCATTAAGGGAGCCTGAGAAGAGATAGAACGAAGACATTATACTGCCTTATATCATCTCTTGTGTTAATAAAGTCTAGCATTGTTTACAAAGTTCTCTCATTATGTACACAACAATGGGGACTAAGTGAGGTCACAGGGAATGCTGTGTTTTCTGAATGCTTACTACATACCAGGTGCAGTTCCAAATGCTAATTCATTTGGTCCTCACAACAACCCTGTGAGACAGGTACTGTTATCAGCCTCATTATACAGAAGAAACAGAACCACAGCATAATTAAATAACTTGCCCAAGGTCAACCAGGTAGTAAATGAAAGAGCCAGGTTCAGATCCCAGAGTTTGTCTATGGAATTTCTCAATGTATATTGAAGTCAGGAGAAGGATTTGTACAGTAAGAACATTTAAGACCAGTCTTTAGGTCCCTGTTTTCATTGTAAAGACTACCTGGGTAATTAACTTGTATTTTTTTTCAGTAGAGGGAGGAGAGGCACAGTCAGTATAGGTGAACAAAGTAACAGGTCAAGAGTAGAATGAGAACTAAGAAACTAAAACTGGAGTGGCTTGTCAGGAACATTACTGAAGAGAAATTAAAGGGGGTAGTCAATGAGTAGAGCTTTGTCTACTCATTGCTTTTTCTTTTAAAAAATTGCTGTTAAGAAGGAATATTGAGAAATTTTGCTAGTTTAAGGGGAAAGAGAAAGATTTGTTTAGAATGGTAGAGAAATTAGGATATCTGTAGATAGAGAGAATGGAGCTTGTGGAGAGAAAGAAGGGGTTTATTGAATGGTATCCCTGAACCTACTGTATCCTAGAAGAAAATATGGAAAACAGGCATTTTTTTTCCCTCCAGGAGAAAGTATATTACTGCTTCTCT